TTATGGAATTTCCTCAAAAAAATTAAAATGCAACTGCCTTTTGACCCAGCAATTCCACTGCTGGGGCTATGCCCTGAGAATCCTGAAACACCAATTCAAAACAGCCTATGCATCCCAGTGTTCCTAGCAGCACAATTTACAATTGCCAAGTACAAGGAAACAGCCTAAGAGCTCACCAGTAAAGGAGTGGACCAAAAAAATAGTGGTACATTTACAGGATGGAATACTATGCAGCTGAAAGAAAGAAGGAGCTCCTACACTTTGTGACAGCTTGGGTGGCTCTGGAGAGCATTGTGCTAAGTGAAATAAGCTAGGCAGTAAAAGAAAAATACCATATGATCTCACCTGTATGTGGCCTAATCAACAAAACAAACAAGCAAGCAAAATATAACCAGAGACATTGAAATCAAGAACAAACTAACAGTCACCAGAGGGGAGGTGGGAGGACATATGGGGGGAAAGGGGGAAGTGTTGTCAAGGAACATGTATACACAGACAAAACCAAAACGGGGTAATTTCTAGGGTAGCAGGTGCGAACAGCTAGGGTTGAGGTCATGGTAGCGGGGAATGGAGACAACTGTACTTGAACAAAAATTAAAAAAGAACAAAAAGTATTTAAAAAATAAATGAAAATAAAAAGGCAAATGAAATAGGTTAACTAAAACTTTGCAGAAATCTTCACAAGAGTTTTTCACATCATCATATTACATATCTGTTGGGAACCACCCTGCCTGGTTTCAGAAGCTGTAACCCCTCCATGGCTAAGGCTGAGTGAGTGACCTTCGGATCATAAGCCACTAAGGAGACAAAGCTTAATTCCCTGGCAGGAGCACTGCTTCTGCTCCTTTTACTTCATCCATAACTGGCCCACAGTGCTTCGTTGGTTAGCCAATGACTGATAAGATTCCACAAGGGGGGTGGGGGGTGGGGCTGGGAATGACCTAAGACAGGCACCATCACATGGAGGCCCCAGGGAAGGAGCTGGGAAGCTATAGTAAAAGGGAGTGATGGACCCTCGTCCCTCAGCTTTGACAAAGCCTGAGTCCTCATTCTGTCTGCAAGAAGTCTCCTAATCTCTTGGCCACCTTGCTTCCTCTGCCTGACTTAAGCCTAAAACAATGACAGAGGGCAGTGCAGCCCTGTGCTGGAAAGGGCGGGTTCCCTGGGTGATCAGGTCAAAGAAAGAATATATAAAATTCCTGAAACCTGCTTTTCTAAGAATGCTCTCAATTAAATGATAAGGGTCTGAGCAGGAAATGAGTTTGTTTCCCAAAGTTTTGTAGCCCTTTAGCTAATAGATCCTGACTCAGAATAGGTCCTCGTGGTTCTTTGTATACTATCTATTATTTGATCCTTACTGCCTGATAATGATTAATGAACTTTACCTGTATTCCTGTGTTAATTGAACCCAATAAAAGCCTGTCCAAGCAAGGGTTGGGGCGTGAGAGAGTGGCCAGGCTGCTCTGAGGTGCTCCCCCATTGAGGGAGTAGCTGTGCCGTCCCTTTTCCTCCACAGGACTCGGTAGTCCATGTGAATTTGTCTCATGTGTCATCCATAACACCATGGACACTGCGAGCCAGTGTCTGCATCACATATAATTGCTGAAGGTCTCATAAATAATAATAGGTAAAATTTATCAGAAAGTATCCTAAGTTTTTTATAATCTACACAAATTATCAAAGATTGGTATTATGATTATTCCCATTTTTCAAGTGAAAAACTAAAAGGATCAAGAAATTCAGTTATTTGTCCAAAGTCAGGCAGAAGTTGACTTTGAACCCTGGCAATCTGACTCCAGATAGCTACATATTCAAATAAAAAGGTGTGGTAGAAACTGTGTTGATTAGTTAGTAAAGTGGTGATGGTTAGGGAACTGACCCAGAGACACAGAAGCCGGCCTGAGTGTGGGCACTGGACCAATATTGGCCTAAAACCCAAGAGCTGCCCCCAGGGTGAGCACCACAAAGGGCATTAGGGTTCTGGCTCCTCACCCTAACCCTCCCCCACAGGACTCAACCATGTGCATCCTCAGGGGCTACACTTGCCAAATCAGTGCAGCACCCCTGGTGCTCACCAGCAGCTGATGACACATTGGGCCACCCCTAACAGCTGGCCCCTGGCTGTTCTGAGGTGGCCTCTCTGGGTCAGCACATGCCACACCCAGCCCCTACCCCAGAGGTAGTGATGCAGTGCCCAGCAGGTTTGGACGGGGCAGACACTTAACAGCTGTGTCCCAAGGCCCACCTTGTCCCTAACACACAACACAGCAAAGATGATGCACAGTCTAGAGAAACCCAACTGTATTTCATGAAACATTAGTTACAAGAAAATATTTACATCATCCCGAAAGAGGGTCTATTCTCAAATAAGTTTTAAAAAAATTCTGGTATGAATCAAATGAAAGTCTGTTTTGTTCAGAGCCTTTAATCTCCTTGTGTGCATGATTCGTTTCTGAGAAGTGAATGTAGTGTGTAGCATCTCCCACCATAAATTGAGTAGAGATTTCTTGTCCCAAGGAGCAAACAGTTTGGGTAACCTTAGTTGAGTAGGGCCCTGAGCCAGCAGGCTGCCTGCTCTTGTACAGTCCTGGAGCTCCCTCTAGTGGTCGGGCACTGAGCCCACAGGGATCCTGCAAGCATTTGTGCCAGGAGCATCTGTTCCTGACATAGTCTTCCCTGTGAGTAAGGTGAGCAGCCAGGCACCAAGGAATACACAGGAGTCACACACAGTAACTATGCTATTTATTCAAAGTAGAACAGAAAAAAATATCACATTTAAACTCTTAACTATCTAAGGGAAATACAACACAGAGTAATCATTGGAAATAATAATTCGAAGTCCAAGTCTCATCTACACATCCAGAGGCAGCATGGTGGCCAGGAAGTGATCAGCATCTTGCAAGGCAGATTTCTGGAGCCAGGTGGGCAGCAGGGCAGACTGGTGGGACCAAGGCCAGCTCATTGGTCCTGCTCTCCATCATGTGCGTGTCCCAAGCCCCTCCCCACCCCCACCCCTGATAGTGGTCCGCCCTGCACCGGCCCAGGGCCACAGTAGTGGACATTTGTTAGGAACCCTGTGCTGGCAGCTGCAGTGAAATCTCAGTCTGGTGAGCACCTCCTCCTCACGGGTCCCTCTTTGAGACTTCTGGGATCTTCAGAAGAAAAGGCAGGAAGACTGGGATCTGAAGTCACGTGGGGCAAGAGTGACACTGATTAATTTCTCTAACTCCCCTTCTCCCCCTCCCCCCCCACACAGTCATACACTCAATCCTGCCCTTAGTCTAGAAAATGTCTCCAGATGACAGTGCCTAGGGGCAAGTGTGCCCTCCATCCAGGAAAGCCCCAGGTGACTGGAGCAGGGTGGGCTGGAGTCTCTCTGTTTTAGACATGAATTCTGAGCTAGGCTGAATAACGGCCATGCAAAGGGACATCAGGTCCTGAATCCTGGATCCTGTTACCTCTGGAAAAGGGTCTTTGCAGATGTGATAAACTGAGGGTGGTGGGATGGGGACCCAGAGGGGGCTCCCATTCATCTTTCCTAACTGCTTGTCCCCTCTCTCCTCTGCACTCCCACCACCCTCTGCTCCACTCCTTCATATCACTGAGTCCTGTGTCCCAGGGAAGATAGCAGGTCCTAGTGAGACAAACTTCAACAAGTACTGTGTGAAATGAATGAATGAATGAATGAATGAATGAATGAATGAATGAACATTTGAGCCAGAGGGCTAGGAACTCAATTGAAAGTATGGAAGTCAAGTTAGTGAGCAGGACAAATACCCTTCTTCTGATTTCTGCAAGACTAAGAACTGTCCCTTCCTTATACACTTTAAGATCAGAAGCTTAAACCGGACAGACTTTCCCATATTATGGACACAATTTAGCATATTCTCATACCAAGTGTTCTGTTGTTTATTTGACATTTTGCATAAAGTGAAACTACCTTTAAATATGAAATACCCACTTTATGCTTGTCTAAGAAATAATTTCCATGAGTTCACAGATGGCTATTACTAATATTTTTCTAATGCACATGAACAAGAAAAAGGATTAATATTTAAAATTATTCATACATGTACCAAACAAAATTATTTTTCCTATTCCTATGATATCCAGGCCATACTTTGGAAAATTCCTTTACATGAAGGACTCAGGTTGGACCTGCCTGGACACAGGGAGAACACAGCAGTGACCTCCCTCTGGCCACATACGTCCATGGCTGAGGAGACGCCATGAAAGGTGCTGGGGTATCACCCTGCATGGGTGGACACAGACCCACTGAACCCCCTCCATCCCACTCCAAACCTCCAATTACAGTAGCCAGTGGAATGGGAACCCTCTAGAACTGGGGAGGCCCCCAAACCCAGAAACACAACTTCCCTTGTTCCCAAAGGTAACTAAGAATGGACATTGGAGGTTCCTTGCCCATGTCCTTTAACCCCGACAAGAACCACCTGTCTTCCCTTGTCATAACCCCCCAGAGCAAAGCAGCAGCAGTGACCAGACAGGGAAAAGTCTGAGCTCTGCAGGAGGATTTGACCACAGGCAGGACTGGCCCAACTTTTTGCCCTCCCGCTGCTTCAGAAGTGTTCATTGATTTTTACCTGACTGCAGCCGCAGCTCCCAGGCTGTGGGCCTTCTACCAGCGCTGCCTGGCTCTTTTTCTAGAGCCTAAAAACCACCGAGCTGCTCTCCCTGTAGGAGCAAAGTTCAACTTGTGGTCAAAGCAAGTGAAGCAAAGCAGAGCTAAGCTGCCAATCCTAGCAGAAGCATTTGGGCAGGCCACCTGCTGGAACTCTGGCTGTCCTCTGCTTCCCTGGGGGACCCTGGTATCCACCCTTGCCGTCCCCACCCCAGTCTGTTTCCCCCACAGAGGGCTTTCAAAGTCACTCACCTGTGAGTACCCTACCACCGTGTCACCCTTCAGAACCACCCACAGCATGTGCAAACAAACCAGGACCCTCCCAGGTCAGAGCCCCAAGCAAGCCCTCTCACCAGCTTACCTGAATCCTTGCTGAACCACGCAGAAAACTTCCCCTCCTTCTCCCCGCTCTGCTTCATTGAGTGTCTGAAAGTCCTCGTGGGGACTTCCTTTGCATCCTAGAAGAGACAGAATTTCCCCTTTGGAGATAAGGGGTGCCCCTCCTGGCTCCCCTAAGCCTCTAACCCAGCTGCTGACCCGGGAGCCACTGGGACCAGTACCAGCCACTGGATGAGCAGGACAAGAGCAGCAGAGCAGAGCAAGCAGCAGCTTCACACGCTGTGGAAAGGGTGCTGCTTGCAGGTCTGGGAGGCTCAGCAAAACGTGCAGAGCAAGATGGTATAAAAGGGGCTGCACACAATTCTACTGACATCACTGTATATGAATCTTAGAGCGTGCCTTTCCATCACCTGACAGTCAGATGGGAGCCCATGGCTTGCTCCTCTTCGTACTTCAGGCACTATCCTTATGCCAGACACGTCGATATTAGTGGCTACCAATGCTTGAAAAAACTACTTCCAAAAACAAATGCCAGATACCCTTCTAAGACCTTCTGAAAGTTGCTTGGAGCTTTGACATCTACCCAGAGCCCATGGGAAGTTCTTGGGAGGCATCTATATCCAACATGAGGATTCTTTCAAGGTGAGAAAGAAGGTTTTATTTTTATTTTTTAGAAGGACAACTTTTTTACTGTTGACATTATTACACATGTACCCCATTCCCTCCCTGCCCCCACCATGACCCACCTCCCCAGTCCCCAGCCTTCTCTGGCCTTCACCTCATTGTTGTCTATGTCCATGAGCTATGTGTATATGCATGTGTGTTCTTTGACTAATCTCTTCTAGTTTCACTAAAGAAATGTTTTAATCAGGCTTGAACATTGGGCCAAAGTTAGATTAAGCAGCAGTTAGAAACAGGCACAGGTGAAAGTATCATTACTGAAGTAATTTAGGTGCCCACCCTTCTACTAATCCGAGTCTACACAGATAGTATTTTCAGTGACATCATGTCCATCTTTATTAATAATAAGTGTTTTTACTTAACAATATTAAGAGGTTTCATTGAAGCCTTTAACAAAAATATGCATGCTCTGGTTAAAAAGGAGCATGAGGAAGCAACAGCATTCAACTCCTAGTCTGTACTAACAAGGCTTTCAGTGCCTGGCTCACCCACAGCCACGTGCTCAGTGTGTGTGCCCACTGGTGCACCAGTGATGCACACTTCACCCAGGGACCCATGCAAGGCCAGACTAAGCCAATTAAATTCCCTCAGTCGGGAGTAGAGACCAGGTAGAAAGCAACCAATGAGCAGTCAGCACAGAGAGGTCAGCACACAGGGTGGCATCTGAAGCAACCATTGGAAGAATCAGAGGAGAGAGACCCCACTGTCACTGGGACGTGAGAAGAGAAGATTCATGCATTTCCATGCCTAGACACCAAAGGTGCCCCAGCTGGAACAAATAAAATGAAGAAGCCTACAATGTAAACAAACATGGCCCCTTCGTCGGTTTAAGAACGACCTGAATCGTAACAGTGGCCCCAGCACTTACTCTCTTTCTCCCTGTGCTTTCCTGTCTCTCTTGCAGATCATTCCCCAGGGTTTGCCCAAACAACTTCCTCAAGCTGATGTTCTGCCCCTGAGCTTCCAGCTCCTCCTGCTGTTCATCTTGGGAATCCTCTGACTCTGTAACATAAGACAATCACCTAGGTTAGCCTCGGCTACCTGAAACCTCCATCCCCAAAACCCCACTGCACCCACCTGGCCCTCCCTTTCCTGGGGTCCTGGTTTTCAGCTCCTGAACTCAGGGCCACTGACCCAGTCCACGTGTCCATCCTGGGTCAGAAGCTGTGGTGTTCCTGTTCCTGGGCACCACTGCCCAGACCTCCTACCCACATTCAGGACTCTTATTCCCTTCCAGTCTAGACCTCTAAGATCAGGGCTCAGTCCTGCTCCCAGGACAACTGGGCTGCAAGGTTTTGCCTCACACTTGAGTCCTGGCAACAGCTTTTTCCCTGACTCCACTCTGTTCCCACACTCCAGGCCCTGTCCGCTGCCAGCTGCAGTCACAACTGCCCCCTCCTGACACCCTCACCCCATCACTACATCAAATTTCATCTTTTTACAGGTACAACATGGTGTACAGGATACACAGGTTCCTGCTCTCTTCATGTTTCCTGTCTAGGTCAGGTGATCTCCCTCCAATTCAAATGTAGTAAACATCCAAATCCAAAAAGGTTCAAAGGCACATACATTCCCAACCCCAGCCCCCTCCAGAGATGCTGATTCCATCAGTCTGGGGAAGGACTGGAATCTGCATTTTACGTTGTCCAGGTGATTCTGGTGGAGGTGAGCCATAGACCACAGCTTAAGAAATACCCACCCACAGGGTAACAAAACTAGCAATTACAATGAAATGTGGCGACTGCTGAGAATGGGACATCTAGGCTCAGTCAGGGAAGCTCCCCACCCCTGAGAGCACTTTCTGTCCAGTGGTGGGAGCCACTGTAGTTAGAACTGAACCAGCTCTTGGATTCACTCAGGGGACATTTACTGACAAGTCACATGAGTGTGAACAGGTCAGTGCTGGATGCTGGGGCCACATGAGAAACCCTCAAACAGTCACACCTGATGGTGGTAACCAACCCCGGCTCTAAGTCTGAACCACTCAGGCTCCACCTCAAGCCAGTTTCATCAGAATCTTTGAGGGTGGGCCCCTGCCCTTCATATTTACTTTTAAAACTCCCCAGATCTTCTGAGACACAGCTACAGCTGAGAACTAATGGTTCCAGAGCACTGGTTTTCAAAGTATGAGCCACAGCATGGGCCCCCGCTGCTAACTTGTGGGAAATGCAGATTCTCAGACCCCACCCCAGCCCTGCTGAATCCACAGTTCACAGGGGGAGCCTGCAGTCTGGGAGTAAGGGGACCCCCTTCTCACTGTACGGTCCTTGCATTCATGCCTCTAGTTCCCTTCACCCCAGGGTCAGGTGGACAGATAAACTCAAGAAGAGACCATGGAAATAATGAAGAGGGCAGCAACTCTGTGTCAGATTTGGTCACCACAAAAGAAAATGAGGTCCTACCTTCTATGGAAGATTTCTTGTTTATGTTCACAGTCTTCAGGTCCTTAGGGCTCCCTGAGGAGAAAGAATACTTAGTGGCTCCATTGCATTGGACCCCATCCCAGCTGAGAGAACGTGTGGGACAGCATGTGGAAGCCAGTCAGGAGAAGTAAGTCCACTGGTCATTTCTGCACCAGAGAGGGGCAGGCGGGAGCTGTGATCACAACCACACACACTGGAGTCTGAAGGTGCAGAGTTCACAGTCCAGCCCTGCCCCTCACTGGTTGGACACAACTCAGCCAATCTTTGAACCCCTCTAAGCCTCAGTCTTCTCTTCTGGAAAATGAAGATATCCATGCTCACCCCACATTAAACCATGGGGACAGGGTAGTGAGACAATGAATCTGAAGTGCTGATGAAGCACATGGTGCTCATTCGAACCCCAGGACCGGGAAGTTAGAAGCCACAAGAATAGTGCCTCTCTGAGCTGATTTCAAAGGAAATCAGCTCAGAAGGAAGGAAATGTCTAGCCTCAAGGCAGGGCATTGGAGGAGACTTGTGGATTTGCAACAAAAGGCAGAAGGGTAGCTATAAGGTTAGGAAAGGGGAGGCAGAGTGGATGGAGTACAAGGGGTCAGTTTCATAAGGGGAGGCCAAGTGAGAGCAGTGGCCTGTAGGTTACTGCCTGCCTTTAGATGCTAGCACATACACTGCATTACACACTCACACACTCATGTGCACACACACCAGCACACCAGAGTACCCAAAAAAGGAGAGTAATATCCCAATCAGGCCATATTTATACAGATCTGGGGTGAACTTCCTATACACCAGGAACAAGGTCAAGGTCGATGGCCTAAATAAACCACAGGCAAGGTGAATTGAAAAGATCCAGTTCGTGGACCCTGACCATCAAACACTGCCCCCAAGAATCTTCCTCTATCCATGTCTCCATCTCTCCACAGAGAAGAAAAGGCCAGGTAAGAAACCCAGCAGCTGCAAGGAACACCCTCAGCACCCGGAGCCCTCTCTGTCCCAATGGAAAGTTCTTCTCACTGTCCTTTGCCCAGCTGAAGAGCCTGGCACCACATGCCCTCAGCCTCATCCTAGAGACTGACTGGTAAAGGATAGGAAAGAGAAAAGGCCAAGACAGCAGCCAAGAATGTGACAAACCACCCCATGCAGACTTACCCTTCACCTTCCTGCGCAACGAGGTCTGGGTCTGCCAAGATGTAGAACAAAGCAGGTTACAACCAGCATGGAACTCTGCTCTGAGCAGTGGTTCTGTCTAGCACAACGAAAAAGGACAGCCACTACTTCCCTAACACCTGCTGGAAACTGGAAGGTGCTCACAGTTCACCAGCCCAAAGCACAATGCATCTCATAATGTCTGTGTGAGTCAGATGGCACCAAGGTTGAATGGCACCAACCAGAATGGCACCATGCTTAATTTTCCCCTGGTAGGGAAGCAAGAATGCCTCCTCTTCAGAGAGGAATTATGGTTGGAAGGTCAGGAGCCCCATGGAATCAGAGTGGGACAGTCAGTACTGGTGGTACAATGGGTAGGAAGCACACAGGGCAAGGTAGGCACCCCTACTGCAATGTGGGCATCTGGAATGATGTCCCCTAGGAGCTAGGAGGAGTGATGTGGACAGTCACTGAACCACATGATCAAACCCCCCTTTTCCAGAAAGTGCTTTTATTCCTCCTCTGTTACAGTGAAAATTTCAGTGGTGGGATATTGTAACCCACCCCACCATTCTTTTGGGACTGTTTCTGTAAGTGTTGACTCTGAGTAATATGTAGCTTATTGATAAACATGTGCATGTAAAATTCCTAGGAAGTAGTTTCAGAAGATACAGACTCTGACCTTCAAACATCCCAGCTCCAGGTTGGCTGACATTCATGCATGGAGCCAGGATGACATGAGGCCAGGATGACTAAACCAAAATGATGCACACTGGACCATCACTTACACTATCAGAATGGACTGTACATCAACACCTGACTCTTGAGTATTAGCCTTTGTAGCAACAGGCAGCCAGAACTGCTTTCAGCTACCCTTCCATATAGGTAGGGGGACACATGTGACAGCGTGACCCCACACCACAGCCAAAGCTGACTGTCCAGGTCTGGGCAGGGAATCCTGGACTGGTAATGTGTAAGCCAAGAGATGATGGCAGCCAACTGGTTTGGGTTTGGGTCTTCTTTTCTTTGTTCACTTTTTGTTTTTCTCACATGGAACACATAAGGAATGAAAGCTGATCTTTGAAATAACATAAAAACTGAATTAGAAACAAAGGAAGGAACAAGAAACACAGCAGAGGAAAACTTCTGACCATATTTATGTCCCCGGTTCTAGCTTAGTCCCACACTCAGCTGCTCTTCTACATTGAGTTCTTTTTTTAATATTTTATTTATTTTTTAATATATTTTAACAATTATGCCATTACAGTAGTCCCATTTTCCCCCTTCATTCGCATCCACCCTGCACACCCCCTTCTCCTCATTCCCCCTTTAGTTCATATCCATGTGTCACCAGTTCTTTTTTTTAAACTTTTTTATTGATTATGCCATTACATTTGTTCTATTCTCCCCTCCATTCCCCTCCACCCTGCATACCCCTCCCCCACCATTTCCCCCTTTAGTTCATGAACACGTGTCTCAAATTCTTTAGATTCTGTATTTCCCCTACTATTCTTACCCTCCCCCCTATCTATTTTCTATCTACTGTCTATGCTACTTATTTTCTGTACCTTCTCCCCTCTTCTCCTCCTCCCACTCCCCTGTTGCTAACCCTCCATGTGATCTTCATTTCTATGGTTCTGCTCCTGATCTAGCTGTCCTCTTAGTTTGCTTTTGTTCCAGGTGTGGTTGTTACCAACTGTGAGTTTGCTGTCCTTTCACTGCTCATCTTTTTTATCTTCTTTTTTTTTTAGGTAAGTCCCTTTAACATTTCATGTAATAAGGGCTTGGTGATGATGAACTCCTTGAATTTGGTCTTATCTGAGAAGCACTTTATCTGTCCTTCCATTCTAAATGAAAACTTTGCTGGATAGAGCAATCTTGGTTGTAGGTCTTTGGATTTCATGACTTGGAATACTTCTTTCCAGCCCCTTCTTGCCTGTAAGGTCTCTTTGGAGAAATCTGCTGACAGTCTGATGGGAACTCTTTTGTAGGTGACTGTCCCCTTATCTCTTGCTACTTATAGAATTCTCTCCTTCATTTTAATCTTGGCTAATGTAATGATGATGTGCCATGGTGTGTTCCTTCTTGGGTCCAACTTCTTTGGGACTCTCTGAGCTTCCTGGATTTCCTGGAAGTCTATTTCCTCTACCAGATTGGGGAAGTTCTCTTTTATTATTTGTTCAAATAAGGTTTCCACTCGTGACTCTTCCCCTTCTGGTACCCCTAAAATTCGAATGTTGGAATGTTTAAAGATGTCCTGGAGGTTCCTAAGCTTCTCCTCATTTTTTTTGAATTCTTGTTTCTTCATTCTTTTCTGTTTGATCATTTTTTTCTTCCTTCTAGTCCACTCCATTGATTTGAGTCCCAATCTCCTTTCCATTACTATTGATTTCCTTTGTATTACCATTCATTTCAATTAGTTTAGCTTCCATATGTTTCTCTAATTTGTAACTAAAATCAACCAGTTCTGTGAGGATCCTGATAACCAGTATTTTGAACTGTACATCTGAAAGATTGGCTATTTCTTCATCACTTAGATTTATCAGCTCTGGGGCTCTGAGTTGTTCTTGAGCCATTTTTGGTCTGTTTGCGCCATTAAGTAAGCGGAGCGAAGCTTTAGTTGTTTACCAGGGTGGGACCACCCAGGTCGCTGGTTTGTGACGCTATATGTGGGGGCGGGGTCAGAGAGGGAGCTTTGGCAGTCCTCCCAGCTAGCCCAGTCTGTCCCACCACTCGCCTCGGCCTGTTTATCTGATCGGAATTGTGCAAGCCTGCTGCCCTGTGCCGTGCAGTGTCAATGCTTGCCTCTTCACTGGTTTATCTGCACGCAAATGCCCGACCTACCGCAGCCAGCCAGCCGCACCTCTTCCCTGTGTGCACCCGTAGCTAGCCTGCGCCTGTGATCCGTGCCTTCGGCTGGTTGCGCACCACCAGGTCAGGGATCTTTCTGGTCAACCCACTCCGCTGCTGGCTTCACCCCTCTTACCAGTTTAGCTGAGCATTTTGTTTTTTTTCGGACTCCGTATTGTCGATTTTCTATGTGGTTTAGTTGCGTTTATTGTTGTTAAAAATAGTTGTTCTTAGATTTGGTTGTGCACGGACATAAGGTGTTTCCACCTACGCCTCCATCTTGGCGGAAGTCTTCCCGTCTATTTTCTACCTACCATTTATGCTATTTATTCTCTGTACCTTCTCCCCCCTTCCCTCCTCTCACTCCCCTGTTGCTAACCCTCCACGTGATCTCCATTTCTATGGCTCTGCTCCTGATCTAGCTGTCTGCTTAGTTTGCTTTTGTTATAGGTGTGGTTGGTTTTTTTTAATATATTTTATTGATTATGCCATCACAGTTGTCCTATTCCCCCCTTCATTCCCTTCCACCCTGCACACCCCTCCCCCACCATTCCCCCTTTCTTTATGTCCATGTGTCACAAGTTCTTTAGATTTTATATTTCCCATACTAGTCTTGGCCTCCCCACTGTCTGTTTTCTACCTACTGTTTATGCTACTTATTCTCGTACCTTCTCCTCTCTTCTCCTCCTCCCACTCCCCTGTTGCTAACTCTCCATGTGATCTTCATTTCTATGGTTCTGCTCCTGATCTAGCTGTCCTCTTAGTTTGCTTTTGTTTTAGGTGTGGTTGTAAATAACTGTGAGTTTGCTGTCCTTTCACTGTTCATATTTTTATCTTCTTTTTCTTAGGTAAGTCCCTTAAATATTTCATATAATAAGGGCTTGGTGATGATGAACTCCTTGAACTTGACCTTATCTGAGAAGCACTTTATCTGCCCTTTCATTTTAAATTAAAGCTTTTCTGGATACAGCAATCTTGGATGTAGGTCTTTGGATTTCATGACTTGGAATATTTGTTTCCAGCCCCTTTTTGCCTGTAAGGTATCTTTTGAGAAATCAGCTGACAGTCTGATGGGAACTCCTTTGTAGGTGACTGTTTCCTTATCTCTAGAATTCTCTCCTTCATTTTAATCTTGGGTAATGCTATTATGATGTGCCTTGGTGTGTTTCTTCTTGGGTCCAAATTCTTTGGGACTCTCTGAGCTTCCTAGATTTCCTGGAAGTCTATTTCCTTTGCCAGATTGGGGAAGTTCTCCTTTAGTATTTGTTCAAATACGTTTTCCACTTGTTGCTCTTCCTCTTTCCCTTCTGGTACCCCTATAATTCGGATGTTGGAGCATTTAAAGACGTCCTGGAGGTTCCTAAGCCTCTCCTCATTTTTTTGAATTCTTATTTCTTCATTCTTTTCTGTTTGGTCATTTCTTTCTTCCTTCTGGTTCACTCCATTGATTTGAGTCTCAGTTTCCTTTTCATCACTATTGGTTCCCTGTGCATTTTCCTTCATTTCACTTAGTGTAGCTTTCATTTTTTTCACCTAATTTGTGACTAAAATCAACCAGTTCTGTGAGCATCCTGATCACCAGTGTTTTGAATTGTGCATCTGATAAGTTGGCTATCTCTTTGTCACTTAAAAGTATTGGCTCTGGGGCTTTGAGCTGTTCTTCTGCTTGAGCCATAATGTTTTGGTCTGTTCATGCCAGTTACATATGAGGGGCAGAGCCTTAGGTGTTCACTAGGACCAGGCAACCCAGTGGCTGGGCTGTGATGCTGTATGTGGGGGCGGAGTCAGAGAGGGACCTAGGGGATTTGTTCTGCTCTCTTTCAGATTTTGGTCCCCTCTGCCACTTCCCACAAGCAAGTTGGACCCTTCTGGTGCTGGTTCCCTGGTGGGCAGACTTGTGTACATTCTAGGACCCTGTGTGTCTCTCCAAAGAACTTTCCTGTAAGGCTGAAAGCCTCTCCCAGCACCTCAACCCTTGAAAGTTTTTCTGATCAATGCTTTTAGGCTTTAATTCCTGGCCTTGGAGCCCTGCGTTGCATGGTCTATCTCACTGTTCATTTTTTGGCCTGGTTTATCTGCGTGTGAATGTTTGACTGTGGTCAGCCAGCTGCCTTGCTTTCTCACTGGGTCTGCCCATTGCAACCCCATACCTGGGATCTGACAACTGCCACCAGTATGCCTGGGTCAGTCTCGCAGCCACTGCTTTTTCCTGCTGTGACCCCTCTCCATCCGCCATCTCCTCCGCTCCTCTTACCAGTTTGGATGAATGGTTCGTTGTCGTCAGACTTTGGTGCAGTTCAATTTTCTGTCTGTTTTGGTTGTGTTTTTGTTTCTAAATCTTTGTTGTCCTTAAATTTGGTTGTGCCAGGAGGTACAGTGTTTCCACCTACACCTCCATCTTGGCTGGAACCTACATTGAGTTATGAGGGACACCGTATCTACCCTCATAACAGATTTTTTTTCTGCTTGAGTTGTTTTCTTTTACCTACTGGCTAAAGATTCACCCAACTGTTTCCCCCTTTGCCTCCGTTTATTCTAGACAATATGAAACAAATTATTTATTTTCTAGGCTCCCTTGAAGCTATAGCTATACATGAGATAGAGCTGTTATCAATACAATCCTAGCAAAAGTCTTAGAAAAAGATTTTTTCACCAGCTTCTTCTACAGGATATGGTAGTGATAGTTCAGGCTATGGCAGGAATCTTGCAACTATGAGAGCAAGCACAAGAAAAAAACTAAAGACAAAAGAGAAAAAGAGTCTGGATTTCCAATGGCATAAATGTGCTGCTAAAACAAGGCCAGAAACACTCACCTCATTTGGTGTTACAATTTTAAAAAAGCACCTGACTCTCTTCTGTTTAGCCAAAACATTCCTAACTGAAACATTTACAAAAAAGAGTTCTTGCTAACATAAGGAAGAAACCTGCAGACTGAGACCTCAGCAGCCACAGCACTGAAGAGCTTACTGTTTTGGGGGCTGACAGTGAAATAAACAGCAGAGGAGAGGGCAATATACGTGACTGAGTGAAGTGTGGCTGGGAGAACAAAAAAGCATCAATAGCAAGGGGGGGCAAGTACAGAAAGAGTAGACTAGACAGGGACAGTGGGAGCTCAGCCTCTAGAAGTTGTGGGGAGAATGTTATCAGAACCAGGGCAGGACCTGAGGCCACAGGAGGGGAAAGATACACTTCTCTACAGACCTGGGGCTCAGGTTGGGGAGGTGAACCAGGCTGGGCAGAGATTTTCGGCAATAGGCAAAAAGTCACAGGGCCAGATTTAGGAGAGCAGTGCTTAGTAAATAAGAGGGGTGCTTTTTCATCAAACTAGTTTATATAACCACTGCCTCAGAGGCTGTTAATTTATCAGAAGTCTATTGGTGAAGAAGTTAGGTCTGAGAACCCAGTGAGAAGAGCACAAACTTTGCAGCCCACCTGCCCGGCTGGTGTTGAATCTGCCCCCTGGCACTACAGAGTGCCCTGTGTGGACTCCCGTGAGGCACTTGACTTCTCCAGCCTCTTTCACTATATGTCAAATGACAATGAGGAGAAGGTAAGTCTGCCTTGAAGGGCAGGTATGAGACTTACGTGGAGCAACAAGCCAAGTGTCAAGCGGGTGCTGGCATTGAGTATGGTCCCTGATATCAGTGTGAACCCCGCTGCCCACAGCCCCTGAGGACAACAGGCACATTTCAGCCTGGAGGGAGGCAGGCCGTATCCTCACCCCTTTGTGCCCCTCAAGCCTAAAGATTCCTCCCTCCTTAAAGAACCTGACTAATGAGATCAATAGCAGGAAGCCCAAAATCTAAGGAGGCCCTTGAGGGGAAGAGGTTTAGGGGCACAAGAGGCTGCCTGGGAGGAAGGGCAGACTTACCATCTCCTGTGACGTAATGAGCCTGGCTTGTTGTTGCATCTGGGTGCTGAGGGACACAATGTGCTGCTGGGATTGGGAAGCTGTTGCATGTAGTTGACAAAGCATGTCATGCAGCCTCTCGTTTTCCTTCCGTAGCTTCTCACTCTTTTTCTGGAGCTTCTCATTTTTCTTCTAAAGCTTTTCCTTCCCCACTGGCTGCTCACCTTCCTCCTGTATCTTCTCACTCACCTTATGTACCCTCTCACTCTCCTCCTGTAGCCTCTCATTCACCTTCCGTAGCTTCTTATTCACCCTTTGTAGCTTTTCGTTTTCCTTTTGTAGTTTCTCGTACTCCTTCTGTACCTTTTCATTCTCCTGTGCCTTCTCACTCTCCTCCCGTAGCATCTCATTCACCTTGTATAGCTTGTCCTTTTCCTTCTGCAACTTGTCATTTTCCCTCTGCAGCATCTTGTTTTCCCTTTGCAGCTCCTGATTCTCGTCCTGTAGCTGGTGGGCACAGGGTGGTTAGTCAGTCAGTATCACAGGAACCTCTGAGCACCCTGCAGCTGTGGGGGCCAACCCTGTAGGCAAACGCTGCTCAGGATGTTACTAGAAGCAGGGTAGAGGGTTTTCTGACCTGGGCAGGTGGCTTTCTGACAAGACTGACAACCTTCCAGATTGGGAAACATTGTCAAGCTGTGCCTGAGGAGAAGGGACAATTGAATTCAGGCTGCAAAGATTGGGACACAGAGGCTGTCTCTCTGGTGTGGCCACCCACAGAAGGGCAGGGAAGTGAAGGTCATTCAGAATCATCAAATGGATGTTTTTAGGTGAACACAAAAGGTGAAGAAAATGTGCTAACATGCTGCCTCTAGTTAAGAGCAGAGAAAAAATGAGACTATTTTTTTATATTTGCATAAAGAAACTCTAGAAGAATATGCAAAAAGAGAACGAAAGTGGTCACCTGTGGATGGTGGGTATAGAGGACAGGAAGATAAAGATAGGGAGACTTAGAATACCTTAATATATTTCTCCTGCTTTAGTAATAAAAGTAAATGCACTTTCCATTTTAAAGCACTTCAAATGTAATACATACATCAGGTGGGATTACTGCAGTGGGTTGGCTACTATGTGCCCCACTCTGATTCATGCACTTTGACCCTCTGAGCTCTCTGTAGGCAGAACCTGAGGCTGCTGTTAATGGGCTTCCTCTTCAACTTGCCTCCTCCTCAGGGGCATTTTTAGTGACACTGTTTTCTCTACCCTGAAACCTGTTGCTTTCTATTCACTGGTCCTGCTATCTGAGCCCTTCCGTTGGTCCTACCACTGAACTATTACAGAGGTCCACAGATACCTGGTTCTCTCCTAGGTAGGAATTCAAAGGAGGGCCTGAACACAAAATGACCAGGCAGCTCATCAGAGGCTTATGGCAAAAGCCTCCTTGGAGGGCCTCCTGGGGTCACTGCCCAAAGGACCACAGAGTAACTGATGTGGGAGTTCTGAAGAGAAGGCCTGGAGTCCCCTATTCCTGGCCAGGGAAACTACTGTGGGCAGCTGACCCTTTGGGGTGTTGATAAAGGTCAGCAACCCAGAACAATATCATCAACAAAATACTTGCCAACCAGTTCAAGTCTGCAGGGGATCAGCATGCTGGGAGGAGATCATGGGAACCTAGCTCCCCCATGAACCACCCAATAAAAACTACCTCTTTGTTTTTAGCTGCCAGCTCTTTTTCCAATTCATGAAATGTCCTCCTCAGTTTTCTTCCCTGAAAAAAAATTACAGCTCCTTCACATATTAAAATATATTATAAAATGACCCTGGCTAGTGTGGCTCAGTGGATTGAGTGCCAGCCTGTGAACCAGAAAGTCGCCAGTTCCATTCCCAGTCAGGGCACATTTGGGCCAGGACCCAGTAGGGGGCACAAAAGAGGCTACCACACATTGATGTTTCTCTCCTCTCCCTCCCTTCCCCATCTCTAAAAATTAACAACTAAAATATTTTTAAATATATATATTATAAAACTACAGAATTAAAAAGTCCTGGCTCATCATTATGAAGACAGAAATGGGAAAAAGAGTAGAAAGTTCAGACAGAAGAAAACATGGAATCTTAGTCTGGGGGAGGATGAATTGCTGACTAACAGTGTTTACACAAGTAACTAAGTGCCTGGGGAAAAAAAGCTATGAACTTGGATCCTTATTTCATATCTTTAACCAAAAGAAAGTATAGGTGGTTCAAAGACTTAAACATAAAAACACTAGTGACTGTCAGCAAGGTGGTGGGATAAGAGGTTCAGATCTCAAACCACCCACAGATGAGATGGCCTTTACGGGAACCTGGGAATCCAGCCATAAGCTTCCAGTACCTCGATGGAGCAAAATAATCAGAGAAGAAATGCACTGACAGGAGAAGAACTATTTCACATTTGTGCATCAACCCTCACTCAAGACAGCAAAGCTCAGTGCCCAGATGGACCTCCTCAAGCTTACAAACTTTTCCACATGGGATAAAACATCCAACTACTGACCCAGCCATGAGGGATGCTGCCCAGGAAACCCACTTCTCTCTCACAGCCCCCAAAACAGAGGGTGTTGGCATGGCTGAAATTGGTGGGTTGTTTTTACACACAAATCTCAGCAAGTGGCCACAGAGGCTACTGGCTGTCTCGTGGACACCAGGATGAGTGGGAGGAGAGAAGGTAAAAGGGTAGAGTGTTTGTATGCAGTTGAAGTTCACTTGTTCTCAGCTTATACCAGACATCTGGAACTATAAAATGTCTTATGGAAGCCTCATACTAATCACAAAAAACACCTATAGCAGGTACAAAAATGATAAAAAGAGAAAGGAATCAAAACATACCACTACCAGAAAAAAAGCATCAAAACACAAAGGAAGACAGCAAGAGAAAAAGAAAATAACACAGTAACTTCAAAAAAAGTCTGAAAACAATAAAGTAGCAATAGTAAGTGATTACCTGTCAATAATTACTTTTTATTTTTCAATTATAGTCAACATACACTATTATATTAGTTTTTAGTGTATATACAACATAGTGATTACACACTTATATACCTTACAGAGTCATCACCCCAATAAGTCTAGAACCCACCTGACACCATACATAGATTTTACTATATTTTCAACTGTATTTCCTATGCTGTACTTTACATCCCTGTGACTGCTTTTAGAAATGACAATTTGTACTTCTCAATCCCTTCACCTGTTTCATTGATCCTCTCAATCCCCTTCAATCTGGCAACCATCAATTTGTTCTGTATCTATGAGTTTGTTTCTGTTTTGTTTATTCATTTATTTTGTTTTTTAGATTTCACTTGTAAATGAAATCATATGCCATCTGTCTTTGTCTGTCTGCTCATTTCTCTTAGCATAATATCCTCTAAGTCTATCCATTGTCTCAAATGGAAAGATTTCATTCTTTTAATGACTCTTTTTGAGCCCTCTCCCCATACAGAGCCACAAAGTAGTGATGCAGGCTGCCCTGCCCTGCCTATTGCCTAAGGCTTCACTCTACATAATTTACCAGTGCTCTTTCAACAACAGGACACACTACTGAGGAGTCAAAGTAACTCTACCTAATACACAGAAACAAACATAGGGAAGCTGCCAAATTGAGGAGAAAAAAAATATGGCCCAAATTAAAGAACAGAACAAAACCCCAGGAAAATAACTAAACTTAAGGCTGATAACCAATCTATCAGATGCAGAGTGCAAAACACTGGTGATCACGATGCACAAAGAGCTCAGTGAGTATGGCAACAACATAAAGTAATGAAGTTTACACTAAATGAAATAAAGGAAAATCTACCAAAACCATCAGTAGAAGGGAGGAGGCTTGGATTTAAATCAACAATTTGGAACGTAAAGAAGAAATAAGTATTCACCAGAACAGCAGGAAGGAAAAAAAATTCAGAAAACCAAAGATACTATAAGGACCTTCTAGACATCTCCAAAAATACTGACATCTGATTCACAGGGATGTCAGAAGGAGAAGAGAAAGAGCAAGAAATTGAAAACTTATTTGAAAAAATCATGGAAGAAGACTTCCCTAATTTGGTGAAGGAAATAGACATACAAGTCCAGGAAGCACAGAGAGTCCCAAACAAGTAGGACCCAAGGAGAACCACACCAAGACACATCATAATTAAAGTGCCAAAGGTTAAAGATAAAGAATCTTAAAAGCAGTAAGACAAAAGCACAGAGTTACCTACCAGGAGTACCCAGAAAACTATCAGCTGATTTCTCAAAGGAAGCTTTGCAGGCAAGAAGGGACTGGTGAGAAGTATTCAAAGTGATGAAAAGCAAGGATCCAGCAAAGTTATCACTCAGAATTGAAGGGCAGATAGAGTGCTTCCCAGACAAGGTAAAGCTAAAGGAGTTTATCATCAGCAAGCCATTATTACCTGAAATGTTACAGGGACTTATTTAAGAAAAAGAAGAAGATCAAAACTATGAACTGTAAAATGGAAACAAATTCACAACTATCAACCACTGATTCTGAAAAACAGAAACTAAGTAAACAACCAGAACATAAACAGATTATAGATATGGAGATCATTTGGAGAGTTATGAGGTGGGAGGGGGAAAGGGAAGAACAATGGAAGAGGTGCAGGGGTTAACAGAAGCCAGTCAGTGAAAGACAAATACCATATAATCTCAGCTATAAGAGGAAGCTAATAAACCAAATGAACTAACAAACAAAATAGAACCACAGGCAAGGGAACATGGAACAGACTGAAAGTGACCAGAAAGGAAGGAGAGGCAGATAATGGTGTAAAAAAAGGGGAAGAGACTAGAAAAAAGGACACGTATGAATGACCCACAGACATGGACAACAAACAGTGTGGAAATTGGCTGTGGGAGTGGGGGGTGGGAAAGACAGAAGAGGGCAAAAGGGACAAAAATTGGGGCATCTGTAACAGAATAAGAATAAACAAGATTTAATTTAAAAAGGCTACTATGAAACATGTGTAACACCCTTAAAACTATAATTTGAGCTAATATGTTAATATTCTTTAAATTAAAAAATTAAATTAAATGTATTTATTTTATTAAAAGAACCATAATTGTCAGGTACAAAATAGACAGAGGTGTGTTCAGAATAATACAGGAAATGGAGAAGCCAAAGAACTTATACACAGGACCCTGCTCACCTGAATTTTTACCTCCTTAAGTATTCTCAGGGCCTCAAGCCCTAGTATATGCCCAAGCAGTTCCTCGCACTCTGCATCCTGCAGAGACTCGAGGTTGGAGCACATCACACTGTGGGGCTGTGGGGCCGCCGGTTTCTGAAAAGTCCAGGGCATGATTTTGTTTAGATGAAAACCTAGCCTTGGTTCTGTCTTTTACATCTGGAGCAGAGTCAGATAGGTACATCTTACCCCAACCACAACCCCCCACCTGCCCTCATTAGATATCAGCACACCTGTGAACATCCACGCCAGTCTGGGTTCTCCTTCTCTGTTCTCCGAAGGGATCAGGTCTGACCCGGGAGAAGCAAGTTCCCACAGAAGAGCAGAAAATGGACCATCTTACAGTGTTTTTCACAATCACTCCCAATGGAATCTTACTCGGTGTTTTGTTTTGTTTTTTTCACAGAATTTTAAAAATGTATTAACAAACTGGTTATCCACCTACACAGAATTTGGAATCCATTTTGGCTCCTATACTTCAGTGGAATTAAAATTCAGGAGAATGTGATTCAAGTTCAAAGGAAACTACAGACATAAAAATTATGTTCTCATTTACCAAAACTCAGGATTTCCTAACTGAAAGTCACCCTTTGACCTTTGATGAGGTGGTTTCTGAACAACTCCAAATTCAAATTCCTGCCTAGGTATCGAATGCCTGGTGAGCCCGCACCCTGTCAGGGAAGGACGTAGTCAGAAAGTTTGAAATGACCTTGAAAATGAGGGTTGAGGAGCTGGGGTTAGATGCATGAGGTCCATTTGGGGAAGTAACACCTTACTTCCCCAAATCATCCCTGACCACACTGGGGAAACATTGAAGACAGGAGGGTCCTGGTCACTACAGTAAATACCCACAGAGCTCTCACTTCAACCTCGCTACCTCCCACCCTCCACTTTTCCACTCAGAGTGAGAGGATGGAGCCCCCAAGATTTCGGGCGTAGCCCATGACAATACCCTTATAGTAAGGTTGCCTTTTTAGGCAAAACATGGAATGATTATGAGAAACACTATTAGTTCATTTTTAAAAACCAGATTCTCCTGGATGTTAGGATGACCCATAGGAGCAAAATACATTCTGAAGATATTTCTTCTTAAAACTTATCTCCTGTGACAGTTTTAGTCATACAGGTTACATGCTACGATACAGTCCTGGGATAACTTTAATAAAGGGTTCCTGAATAAACTTGATAGTTCATCCAGTAGAAAAGCAGGAACTCTAAGGTTTAAAGAGCTAGGTTCCAACCCCAGCACAGCTCTGTCTTTTAATAGCTGTGTGAGCAAGATATGTGGCCTCCACATCTTTACCTGTAAAGGAAGAATGTTAATAATATTTGAAAAAGGAAATTAATAAGCTCATGAGGTACCTACTTTGAGAGTGGTATGGTGTGTGATAGTTAGGAGGGTTAGAAATTAATGTCTATGAGGTGTTCTGCACAGATGATCGAAACAATAGCTACAGTCGATAAATGTTAGCTATTGTGTGTGACCTCCATAGGCCCCTCAGTCTTCCTGTCATGCAGCCAGCACTCAGCAAATTCGTGTTGAAAGAAAAACACATTATTAAATTTTGCCTCATTTCGTGTCCAGTGACAAAAACCTTTGCATACAGAAGAATAATATCTAGGAAGTTCTTGCTGTATACCAGATAATGTTAAGTGCTCTGTGCTAATTTCATTCTCTCAGCAACCCATCTGACAGAAAAGAAACTGAGGCTCGGGAAGGTTCAGTAATTCTCTAGTGTCACACGGGCAGTGAGGGATAGAGCAGAGAGGAAAACCCAGGCACTGGCCTCCGGGATCCAGCCTCACAGTCCCTGAGCCCCCACAGTGCCTGAGGAAATAAAACTAGCACAGACCAAGGAAATGAATTTTGAGAACAGAGAAGCACATTTTCAACAAAGAAAATTTGAAAAGCCTTTTCCACTGGGTACCCCTTCTAATGGAGAATTAGGAAGGACAGAACTTCTCAGCTCATCCCAAAAGACTTGTTTTTGTTGGTCTATTTCCTCAGAGAGCTCTTCTGTCTACTCTTCAAACATGGCTTCAGCGTCTCTGTCCCTCTGACAGGTGGTCTTTGCTTCCTACAATGAACATCAAGAACAACAGAATCATTAATTCCTAACAATAGAATCATTAATCATGGCAAATATTTACTGAGAAAGTACTTGGGCCCCTTGTCATGCAAGTCACTATGGAGACCCTTAGAACATTTGTCCCACAGTCCCCATGGCTTGCACTTGGAGTGGGCTGAGTTTGATCTGAACTTTCAAATCCCTTCAGGATAGAGATTGTGTCATTTCTGTCTTTCAGGTCCTCAGAATTGACTGGGCCTAACATGATTGGTGCTCTGTGAAGACATGCTGAGAGTCTGAATGGGGAACGAATAAAAAATGGAGTAAGACAATTTATGTATTTTCATCTTACAAATATTTACTGAGAAGCTCCTCTGGGCTGGAGTCTGGAGCTGTCACAACAACACCCATGCTTCATCCTCAAAAAGCTGAGAGCGCAGTGTAAGACGTCAACATTCAGGTTCAACACCTTCCCAGGGTGCTGAATAATGCAGGAAACTCCAACTCCCTGCTCTATTTTGGCCAGATAGGCCTGGCAAAATAACTGAAGATTCCCTCCCAGATGACCTAAAATCACTTCTCACTTAGGGAAGGTGCCACCCTAGCTCTGACTTCCAGCTCCAAGGAACCAGGCAGAGCTTGGCCCTGTGGGATCCATGTACATCCCGGGGCTCTGGTCCGCCCATGACAGAGTCTCCTGCTGTCTCTTCTCTGTGCCCACCTGCTGCTGCCGCTGCTGCTTCAACAGGGCTGTCAGCTCCTCCTGAGTGGATGTCAGCTGGGCCCGCAGGTCTCGTACCACCTCCTCCATAGACTCTTCCTGCTTCTGTTTCTCTGCGGGGTCCATGCAAGCAGAGGGTGACAAGTTTAGGGGGAAAAGTCAGTGGAGTGTAGTCCCTCACCTGTGTCATCAATCACACACCTTGGTCTGAGACCTGCTTTCCCACTTTCCTTGTACACTGACCTTGGGCAAATGATGCTACCTCTCTGACCCTCATTTCCCCCAACTGGTGATGGACATAATAATAGCACCTAACTCGGAGGGTTGCTGTGAGGATGAAACGTGATCATGCAAAGTGCTGAGCACAGTGTCTGTCATGATGCTCAATAAATGTGGACTCTCACTGTCATTTAACAGAACTCCTTTGACAGAGCTCACTCAGAGAAGTGGGAGTGCAGAGTTACTAGAGCAGCAGCAGCAGAACTTTCAACAGTGCACACACTATGAATAGAAAGAACATGTTCATGTGTCCTGACTGCAGTCGGAGAGCAGTGTGAAGTGATGGAATTAATTGTAGTTGTAACTCCACTTTTTAAAATAATGGCATTTAAACTGATAGCTTTAAATTTCAGGTGAAAGAAAGGCAACATGCATTATGATAGAATATTTTAGCCAAGGTTACTTTAAGTATGTACTTAAAATTTTTTAAGTTAAAGAAAAGATTCAGAATTAATTATAAAAGAACATTCTAACTAAACTGCATATTGATAAAGCAACGGGGGGTTTGGGTTAATGAAAAAGATACCAATTGTACATTTGTTACTTTTGTAAGTACATTTAGTAATTATTCAGTAGGTGGCACTGTTATTAAAACTATAAGCCTTTCTTTAAAGACAGAGATGGCTTTTCTTATATTGGGCTTTTTGGAAATATGCACTTTTAGATGCAATATAAATTGATTTGGGTTGATAGGTGACCTGAGGTGAGTGTAGAATAGAAGAGCTGAGAAGCCAATGAAAAGGTCCTGGACATTAACATGGCAGAGTTGCCTTAGGAACAGGGTTTCCCTCTCCTTACAGCACTTTAACTGAAGGAAATGATGAGGCATATGCACAAAGATTTACACACAAGAGTGTTCATCATCATGTGGTTTATACCAGGGAAATTTTGGAGCAACCAATATAAATTAGGAAATAATTCAAATTTGAAATAAATTATGGTAGCTGTTTGATGAGATACCATTCAACTATCAAAATCATGTTTACAAAGGTGATTTAATGACATTGGAATATATAATATATACTTCATTGAAAATAAACAATAATCAATACTGCATACTGTGCAATTACATATGTAGACAGAAAAATAATCACAGAGAATACACCAAATGTTAACTGCAGGTATATTGTCCATGAGTTTTATTTTCTCTCTTCCTGTAGTTAAATTTTCTATATCTATGGTATTTGTTTGATTTCCTGACTGTGGTATAATACATGGAACGTAAAAGTTACCATTCTAAACCATTTGTAGGTGGCACTAAATACTTTCATAACATTGTGCAACCAACACCACCATCCATCTCCATAACTTTTCTCCTCTTGAAAAAAAGAAGCTCTGTAATGACTTAACAGTAATTTCTCATTCCCCCTCCCACCAGCCCCTGACAACCACCATTCTACTCTCTGAGTCTATGAGTTTGATGATACTGTGTACCTCCTATAACTAAAATCGTTACAGTATTTGTCCCTTTGTGACTGACTTGTTTCACTTAGCACAATGTCCTCAAGGCTCAGCCATGTTGCAGTGTGTGTCAGAATTTCCTTTCTCTTTAAGGCTGAATAATATTTCACTGTATATGTATATATCACATTTTGTTGATCCATTCACCTTTCAATGGATATTTGGCTTACTTCCACATCTTAGCTACTGCAAATAACTCTGCCATGAAAATGGAAATGTAAATTTCCATTTATAACAAGTAGAAAATCTGTTTTTCTTTAACAACCTCCAATACAGAAGCAAGAAGAGTTACATATGTAATAAATGCACAGTGACTAGGTAAATGGTGCTATTTTAAATCTCTAAGTCTATTCTTTGAAAAGGAAATTAAGATGAGGGAAAAATAAGAAACAGATTTATTATGGAATGTTTATATTTACATTTTCAAGTCAATATTTTATGTTTTAACAGCTATTTCTGATTAACCCTTAAAAATGTTTACGCAGCATGCAAATATCTCTATGGATAAACATACAGCTTTGTCACTTGCTATGGAATTTGAAACAGTAAAATCAAAGTGATCATGTCATAATCAGATTATGTAATAATGAAGTCAAAGAACTGGGCTGACTGCTCAGTAACCGCATGTAACCTCATTCATAGTTAGCATCAGAGAACAGCCGATTCCCAGAAGGAGAGGAAGGAAGGCCCTTTCTATTTCATTCAGTCTAACTGCCCCATTCATAGTGAAAGCCACTAAGACTCAGAGGGGGGAAGCACTGACCAGAGTCACAGAACTGAAAGGGACAAAACTAAGACTGGAACCTACCTGTGTGACTCCCAGCTCTTTAGCTCTACACACATGGTCAGAAACCCTCCCAGCCCCAAGTAGGATCTCCAGGATGGATGGGGGGATCATCCCATCCTCCAATGTATGACGAGGTTCCGAGGGCAGCTTAGGTGATGTATGTGCCACCACCCACTGAATTCCAGTCAAGGTCCTTCCACAGTCCCAGAAGAGCCACCTGGACTCACCTCCTTGAGCCTTGCCCTCGTGCTTGTGTTGAAGGTGGCTCTGGAGATAGGAGGCGCTGGGGAACATCTCCTCACACAGATGGCACTACACAGAGGGGAAGCGGTGGGAAGTGCAGGAGTCAGTCCCCTGAGGCAGCCTGGGATTCTCCCTATGTCACAGCTCCCATTACCTTGGGACTCCCGGGCTGCTTCAGACACAAAAAAACTCATTTACTGAGTAAGGCAGTCATGTCCACCCTCCAGATATACATATATACTGGGCATTGAAGCACTACCAGTAACCTAGGGAACTGTGAATACTAACAAATTTTTGTTGGCCTTTTATGATGTGATGATGATAATTGTGTTTATATTTAAAGGGGAGATCCTTGCCTTTTGGAGATATATACTGAAATATTTACAGAGAAAATCATATGATGAATATACTTCAAAAACAGTTCAGGGGTGGGGGCAAGCAGGTAGGGGAATGAATGCAACAACATTGGCCACAAGTTGGTAACTATGGGGCTGGGTGGAGGGCAAATGAAGGTTCATTATATGACTCTGTTGTATATGTTTGAAATTTTCCATAACATAAAGGTTTCTAAAAGATACCAGGGTCGAGGTCACACCCCAGGGTTGATACCGACTGAAACAAGGCTAGCTAATAACAGCATCTCTGATTCCCCCTCACTTTCCTCACATATTTTAGACACTGCCATCTACATCATCCTTTCACTGTGAAACTGAAACTGTCTTTCAACACTGCACTGTGGGCTGCCATTGCCAGCCAATAGAGGACGGGGAAAGATTACCTGCAGTCTTTACACAAGGACAAATATGACAGAAATGGCCAGTGGTCTCCCGATACCCATTTCTCCTTTTCCTTAGCAACAGAAACCTTGATTTTTAGTGGTCATAAAGCTGATGAGAGTGAACACTGTATGTCCTGTCTTTTCTTGCCAACAGGTGTGGCCATGAGACTAACTCTTGTCCACTGACATGCAAGCAGAAGCAGCATATGCAACTCCTGGGAAGTGTCATTCAAGAAAGAGACATATTCCTCCCCCTGCCCCACCCTGCTGAATTGAATGTGGACTTGGGAGGTGGAATTTAGGCAGCTGTCTTGGACCATGAGGCAGAAGTCACATGATGAGGCTGGCAGAGAAACACATGAAGAACTGGGTCCACGATGCTTGTGGTATTCCATACCAGCCCGAGAATGCTTCCCTCTCAACTGCGTATATAACAGGGAAAAATAGACTTAGGTCTGATTCATACAACTACAATATGATGAGATCACTGATAGTCGAATGCAAGCCCACACACACACCCTGGATTGACAGACTTGGCCCACTCTGGACTTCTAAAATGATACAAATGTTGTCTAGTTGTCAGCAGCAATACAAGGTGGGTAGGGTGGGGAATAGTTTAGAAATCATCTTATTCCACATTTCAAGTCCTTCCCCTCATCTCACCCTTACCTGCTTCCCCATTCCCACCCCAAGCAGCCCACTCAGAAGCCAGGCAGCTCAAGTTGGACAGCTGCCACTGCCTTCAGACTAAAATCCACTCTCTCCCACCACGTTTAAGGCCACCACGACCTGGCTCTGCTCTGCTCTCCTCTCCTGCCACACCTCTCACCAGTCTCCTGCCCAAAGCCACCTCAAGCAGTCCAGTGTCATTACCCTGAGCACCCCTCTCACACTTGCATCTTGGTTACCTCTGCCTATAACACTCCTTCACAAAATTGTGCTCAACATTCAAGGCTTGTTTAAACACCACCTCAAGAAGACTCTTCCTCTCCCACCTCTGCTCCCACAGCTTCTCAGGCATCTCTCTTGACACTTTCTCCACCTACAAAGGACATCTGCTCATTTCTGGAAGTATACTAGCCATACCCTCTTTCTATGATAAGAGCACCCAGCTTTCTTCTGGGGAGTTACCCTTCCCTGACTCTCAAGCCATGGGCTTCAGTCCACCTCAGCTCCATGAAACAGGGGACTGAGACCAAAGCCAATCAGAGCCCTGCATTCCCAGAAGCCTGAGACTGGCTGAGGCACTGAGACACTGAACTACTAGCTGGGGTGCTGGGAACAACTTTGGCCCTCTGCCACGGCAGCCTTAAATCCTGAAAAATGAGAAGATGGCATTACTGTGGCCCAACTTGCTACCACAGGGTCAGGATCTTCCTCACAGTGGGAGGAAGAATCCACCCTGAGGAAGAACTGCCAAGAGCTTCAGGGAAAGAAACGAGATTCTGGTGCCATCTTCTTCCTGGGACAAAGTCACACCTTCATGCTGCCATAACCCTGAATTTTTCAGTTAAATCAACCAATAAGTTCTTCCTTGGCCTAACCCAGCTTAGAATGTTGTCTGTCACTTACTACTGAAAGGGTTCTGACCCTCATGTCATAATTAACAATACATCAATTATACCAGTTACCATTCTATTGAAATGATTCCTTCTGTCCCACCTACCCTCAAACTATGAATTTCTCGAAAATCTGAACCACCACAACTTGTTACTATATCTTCTATGCCTGGCTAACATGACAGTTTATTACAGGGCAACTGTCCCCACACCACACTTTCCATGGAAATACATGCTAATGCTCACATGACAGTCGGGCTCATGAACTGTCTCTATGTTAAATAATGAAGATCCTTTTCCAGAATGGGCTTCGCTCTACCAGTCCCTTGCCACACACTCATCTCATACACACACACACTTTTTACATACACCCTTATACAGCACTCTCTATATGCACACATAAAGCTCTCATGCACACACATACATACATATACACTCACACCTACCACAAATACACACACCCTTAGACATGTGCATACTCTGACTCATTCACACAACCATAAATATGTCTTTATATGCACACTGCTACATACTCATGAGCACACATTACACACCACATACTACATATACATACCATACACAAACGTACCCTCCAAATATTAACATATACACATCAGACACACAGATTTACACCTTCCATAAGTGTACACACATACCCTTCATACATTCAAGCATGCTTTGGACACAACCTCTCCATAAAAATATACTCTATGCACACATATTCTTCACACACACATCTGCCACACCTGTAGAATCTATACCAACATGTAGTAGATATAACCTAACCAGACATTCAGGCCCTCTGGTCATGAACAGTGTCTCAAGTCTTTTTTAACCAATGACTATGGCCCATAGCAGCCTCAGGGCCCAGGGGATGGTGTTGCCCAGGTGGCCCAGTGGCAAGGTACCCAGGCCTCCCACTCTCCCTGCCCTGTTGATTTTTCTCACCATATAGTAGCTCTTGCCACTTGACCATTGGAGAAGCTGCTGCAAGTCTTTGATCATCTTGCGTTGCCGGTGCCTTTCCTCCTGCAAACCCCTGAGCTCTTCAGTCTGGCAGTCCAGCTGCTGCTGACTCTGTGACAGCTGGCTCAGGCTGGCTTGCAGGTTCAGCTCCAGCTCGGTAACTCTGGTCATCAGGAAGTCCTGTCAGTGCATCAGGTACTCGATGGTGAGCTGGGCTAGGCACAGCACATTGAGCAGTGCCTGGTCCAAAGGCTGTGAACAGTGGCTGCATACCTCCTGGTCAAAGATGCAGAAGGTGATGTCAGTGAGGTTCTCCTGCAAGATGGCCACATCCAGCTCCTGTGTCACACGGTCCACATCCAGGACACTCATACGCCTCCAGTCCATGCTCCTATTGCGAGGCTGGAACCTGAAGGGAGGGATGGTGTAGGCCCCAGAGATGGAATGATGGGGACCCTGAACAATGATAGCAAGAAACTGCATGGTCACAGAAGCCCTGGGGCGACCCCCTTGGGAGGGTGCCACCAAGGCCACTGTACCCAGCAAATGAGCTGGATAGGACCTGAAAATTAAAAAGAGAGTCCAAGTTAGGCAAGGTGCATTGGTTGTATGTCCCTGGCCACCAAGAGCATAATTGGGGTGAGGTGAAGGATCTGAACAATAGCTACAGTGTGCATGCTACACACCGACATGGCCAGAGCCATGAAAAGTAAAGGTGTGGATTTTACAGTCATTCGGCTGTGGAGTCAGATTCTCAGCCTTGGGCAAATCCCTTCACATCTTCAAGCCTTCTAGGTATATTGGGACTTACGGGGCTCACTTTGTGGTTAGGAATGAGGCAGGTGAAGCTCCCAGCCTAGTGCCTGGCACCTAGTATGTCCTCAGTTAATCCCCCATGCCCAAGGCAACTGCCAAAGGTCTTTTTCAGAGAAAACTGTCCATTGTATAAGTTGCTCCTATCCTGAGGTCATCCTACAATGACCTCAGGATAAAGTTCTACATCTTGCTATGGGTGGCAGTCACCTGAGGTCTATCACACTCCCCAACACCCTGCCCCAATTGTCCTCCAATTACTAGATTGTAGTGGACAGGGCTAAGCTGCATTGCCCAGTTTCCCTGGCTGTAAGATGTGATCACATGACTATGCTCTGTCTAGGAGGGTGTAAGAGAGATGGCGTCCTCCACTGCCTGAGGCGGGAGGGAGGGGGACTTAAGACAGTGATTGTGTATTTGCACTCAGACTGAACTCAATCCATGATGGTCTTTTTTTATCACACCTAATGGTTTCCTGAAAAGAGCTCCAGTTTTTGGTCAAAGTCCCAGATTCTAATCTCCACTTTCTAGCTAGGCATAGAGATTGTTCTCTCTCTTTGAAAATTTGTAATTTGTAATTTGGCAAGAGCAACACGAATTTTAACTCAACATTTTTCTATAAATACATACAAGTGTGTAAGGTGCTTGTGTAAAAGTTAGCATTATAGTGTTGTTTGTAATAGCAAAATATAAAAAGTATGAGAAAGGAAAATACAAGGTATGATAGAGGACAGAGATGTTATCTCTATATGATGAAACACTATGCATCCCCTAATGAGAATAATGCAGCTTTATATGTACTGATAGAGAAAAATGGGATTATATGTGTATGTGTGTGCATATGTATGTGGAGATATATATATATACATACTTTTGTTTCTTTTTAAATTATATATTAATATCTTATAAATGTAAGATATATGTATGTCTCACATATATCTTTATGTATGAATATATAGAGATATATTTGAATATATATAGGTATCACAATATAATGGTTGCCTATGTGGGAAGAGCTAAGTGGAAGTGTGAAATGAGGATAAATAAATGAACAGAAGGGTGGTCCATAGATAGGAGATTTGTAAATAGTTACACAGATTAACAGCTACATAGATAGACAGGCCTTCCACAGACAAATGATGATCATATATATATATGAATCATTCATACTTGTCATTCATGTATAATAAAATTAAGTAAAATATATGAATTTATGATATATGATACATTATCTCATAAGCATAAACTATTTCTATAAAAGTAGACAAATCATTACCTCTGGGCATGAGAATGAAAGTTAGGGGACCTTTGTTTTTCTCTTTCTACCTCTCCATACTATTCAAAGTTCTATGCATCATCATCTATTACTTTCATCATTTTTAAGGAAAAAAATATAATTTTTTTCTTTGAGGAACTTATACTCTGGGGCAAGAAGTACAAATGATTATCCTTAAGTCCTTTCTAGATCATGTGATTCAGAATTTTAAGTGCAATGGAAAGAGAAGGGAAAGGTCACCGAGGAAGGAGAAAGGCCTTGAAGAAATGGTAGTGGTGAGTTTGCAAAGAGGGGAAGGGCCTCCAGGGAAGGTTATGACCTCCCTAAGCCTCTGTCTTCTTTTAGGAAAGGGGGTTAGAGCCCTGCCCTCCAGACCCCCAGGGTGCTGCGGGAACTGAGGACAGGCAAAGGGAATGAACTCAGTACTAACACCAGCTTCAGTGCAGCAAGTACCAGCCTTTGTGCCACATACCAGCTTTAAATACAAACCTACAAACAGCTCTTGCTATTCCCATTTTACAGGCAAAGAAACTGATTTCTGGGGAGCTAAGTGGTTTGTCCCAGGTAGCAAAACCAGAATGAAAAAAAAGTTGGAGATACATCTGCTTCTAACACTTGTGAACTCTGAAACACCCAACATGATTTTTGAAACCATTTGTTCTAAAAATTTTCTTTGATCAGAGCATCACTCCTTATCCCTCAAACTCATTCATTCACTCGCTCACTCCCCTGCATTTGTAGCATGCCTTCTTGGACCAATCCTCCTCTGTGGGACTGCCCTCAGGATGCCACTCACCCATTTTGGCTCCCATGCTTCTTTCTCAGACACACTTCCCCAGCGCACTCAAAAAACAAAGCCCTTCAGCCACAAGTACCTCTACCATGGCCATAAGGAGAAGACTGGCACACTTCTACTTAATGTGTCATATTATTTGAAAAAAAAGGAAATAAAAGGCAAGGCAAGGCAAGAGAACAAAACGGAAGTGGATTAGATGATACCATGTTCAGCTCAAGCTACCACCATGTCACCAGAACCTCAGAAACAACTGTCACAACAAGCTGCACCAGGAGCAACAGCAGGTTACCAAGCATGTTCATGCTGTGGCCCAGGGTAACAGGACATCTGCTTTCTGTCCACCTTCAGACCTGGAAACTCACCAGAAAACTCACTATTCACCTAGTTAAGCTTTATTCTTCAGATGTTTGCTCACAATTTTCTCTCTAACAATAAGGCCTAGAGTACTCCATCACCAGGTCTCTCGCCTCTCCTCCCACCTTGCTCCTTCCAGCCTCTTTCCTAAACAGTTACTACCCTCCTTTCACTCCTCCTTTAAGACTGAGTATCCCAATGTCCCTGTCATATTCTACTGTTCACCCATACCCATCTCTCCCTGCTCTGTCTCTCTGGGGATGAGCTCACACTACCCACAGCTTCAGCTACCATAGGCCTGCTGTAAGTGTGCAGACACTCCCAAATCTCTTTCTTGCTGTCAACCCGTCTCTTGGGACCATTACAACAAACCTTCCAATACTTACACAAATTGCAAATCCAAATTCTACCAGGCCCAGGAAGGTAGCATTAAATGCAGGAAACATGCCAGGTATAAGACAAACCACAGCACAAATTTGATGATAAATGGCAACTGATTCTCCATTTTGATGTGCAAGGTACAATTAAGCACCAAATTCAGTGGAACCTGGTGAGAAATACAGATCTCCACACTTATTCATTGAGAACCCCTGCAGTAGAGAGTGTTGGGTCGGGGAGTGCTAGGCACTGTGGCAAAATGGGAGTGCATGCCCTGGGGTTTTGTTTTGTTTTGTTTTTAAAGATTTTATTTATTTATCTTCAGAGGGGAAGGGAAGGAGAGAGGGAGAGAAATATCAATGTGTGGTTGCCTCTCGTGCATCCGCTGCTTGGAACTGGCCTGCAACCCAAGAATGTGCCCTGACTGGAATCAAACTGCAGTTGTTTGGTCTGCAGGCCCGCGCTCAATCCACTGAGCTACACCAGCCAGGGCATAATGCCCTGTTTTAAAGAGGCATCCACTGCTGAGCTTCATCCACATGGGAATGGGTGTTATGGGATGCTCATGGGCCAATTCCAAATTCCTAAGGAGACATTCACAGATTGCTTGGAACTCTTTCCAGACCACCTTCCTAGCTCCATCTCCCACTTACTATATTACTTGATGTCTACCTTTTTTTGAGGAACTCATATTTCTTATCAAAGTCATATTCAATGTCAATAAGTGCTTCTGAATTAGTAAGTCTGGAGATCTGTATTTCTCACCAGGTCCCAGCTGAATCTGGTGCTGCTGGTTCAGGGACCACACTTGAAAAACTGCTGTCTGATTGTATCTTGGACATGAAGACAGAGAACCAGTTGCCATTTATCATCAAGCTTATACTGTGGTTTTCCTTATACCTGGCACTTTTCCTGCATTTAATGCCACTTTCCTGAGCCTGGTAGAAAAAGAGGTCACAACTACCAAAAAAATCACACACATAGCAATCTCAATGCAAATAGTCAAATGGAACCCCAGTGATGAAAAAAATAATTCAAATTACCCCAACAAACAACTGAATTTTTAAAATATTTTTATATATTCACCAACAAATTAAAAAGGTTGCCAACAAAAAATACCAGTACAGAGGTCTGGTATTGATTTTTAAAAAGGCAACAACTTAGGCATTTCCATCAATTTGAACATTAGTCATTGAGCCACTCAGCTTCATCCTATTCATCTCCAGCAGGCTTATTCCCCCACCTCTGGTGACTCAGACTTAACCCACAAGGCACCCCTTGGACTTCCCATCCTCCATGTGGATGTCAGCATATAACACATAGCCAGGCTCATTCAATTTGTCTTTTGGCATCTTCCATGCATAGTCAAGTGAGAGACTTCTCACAAATATTTGGCAGTCCTTCCTGGCCACCCCAGGATCATGGCCTCCAGCTCCATCAAAGGAACCTGTGAAGCTTTCTCCAAAGCTTGTTCCACACACACACATAAAGCTTTACAGGTATTATTCCATTTAATTCTCACAACAACCCAGGACACTGATGAAGAAACTGAGAGATAGACAGAGAAGGCAAATGACTTTCCCACATTCATACCACTAATAAGTGATGGTGTCTGGCTCCAGAGTTTGTTCTCCAGGAAGATGGAAAACCACACAGAAATTGTTGTGCAGAGTGGTGTCAGGATAGGAGCTAGGACAGGGTGCTGTGGAAGAACCAAGAGGGACCACATACAGCAGATGTTTCTGTCTCACTTCTCCCCCCACCCCACCTCCAAGTCCTCCATCTGTGAGGCCACAAGGTTAGGCCTTGGCTTATTCGCATCTGTTGGACTCTAGCCCCAGGCATATTACCTGCATCCCAGATTGC